TTGAATTCTATTTTGTCAATGACCGAAAGCAGTAAGACTGTGATGACATCAAACAAAGAAAATATTTTATGGTATGCTGTAGAAAAAATACAGTAACGTGACACTGGTAACCATTTCTTCAAATAATTTGATTTACTGCACCTTAAGATCAGTAAATGCATTATCAAATTTATAAGCATAGAAGAAGGTTCACTGATAAAATTTCTTTGGTAATAATCTCAATAAACTCTGAAGATTTCACCGAAACAAAAGCAGAAGTCAAAACTTCTTAGCTTTTTTCCAGATTCGCAAGATCAACAAAGAGTTCTTAGAAAAAGTAACACCACCGCCAAGTCCGGGTGACGCTGCAAGAAGTAGCGATGGAGAAAGTGAGCATTTCTGCATATTCACCAAAGCAGACCTAATGACATGAAATCGGAAGTTTGTCAAAGGTCTTCTCACATTCCAGCAGAAGCACTCCCGATGGATCCAGCATGTGATCCGGATCATCCACGTAAAATCACTTTCTCAGACATTTCCAGTGCTGCTTTCAATACTAAGAATGGAGTTATTCGGACGCCATGTAATGTATGTGCAATAGTCCACATCTTTAATCTTCTTTTGCAGTTTTTGAAGGAATTTTACTTAAACTTCAAATACCCGTGTTTTAGAAGTCTCCCAATCTCTCAAAGATGCTTGGCATGGATTTATACTTCAAAAAGGAATATCTTCAAGTGACAGGATCGTTTAAAGAGCGTGGTGCCCGCTATGCCCTTACCAGACTTACAAAGGAAGAAAGGGAAATAGGCGTTATAGCCGCTAGTGCAGGTGAAAATATTAAACTGAAGTCAAAGCGGCCTGTATATTCACAATATGATTTAAGTATATTCAAGTAGGGCTAAGCTTGCTTAGAGGTGAAAGGTCAATTTTTGGAAAGTCTCTTGGCTATCTTATGGTTTATATTCAGCCATAAATGGCCCTTCGACATATGTCGCACGTTCCTGAGTTATCGTTGAGCGATCAAGACTTTTTTTTATGAAAAAAAAGGACGGCGCCGTAAAACAAAGTCAGGCGATCGCGTTTCTTTCTTCAAGGAAAAACGGCGCGATATTTCATGGACAACGCAAGCATTCAAAGTTCAAGGAAAATCAATTCGATCACTCTCTCTAAGCTGAATTTTTAAAAATTGTATGATGTAGTAAAAGTTAGATTGGAGTTCTCAAAATTCTTCTTCTTTACAAAAGGAGTGACAAACAGGAAGCTGATGCGAATTAACTGAAAAAATCGTAAGTACAATACAATCGGAAGTGACATTTGTCCTTGGAAAACTACCGCCATATAAGTCCATTTAGGCAATCACGCACTTGCTCTTAGCTACCATGGACAACAATTGAACATTCCCGTAACCGTTGTAATGCCCGTATTCGCTCCTTTGATGAAAATTGGGATGTGTAGATCTTATGGGGCAAATGTCATTCTCAAAGGAGATAACATCGGGGAGGTATAGAAAAATCATATGGTCGAATGCTATACGAATGCAATGCCTTTTTAGGCGAAAGGACACGCGATGAAATTAGTGGCCGAGAAGAAGTACAAGTACATTAATGGTTATGATCATCCAGATATTCTAGCTGGTCAAGGGACAATTGGTTTGGAGATTCTTGAGCAAGTTAGAAGATTACATTACTGGACGTAGTATGAGTAATTTCCCGTAATACGTCCTTTAAGGTCCCCGATGTTGATGCTATTATTGTACCAGTTGGGGGTGCTGGTTTAATTGCGGGCATTGCGGTAGCCGTGAAAACCCTTAAGCCACAAGTGCAAATTATTGTGAGTTAAAGCTAATTTATGCACATCTCATTTCAACAAAGGTTCCTTGCAGGCAGTGGAGTCCGATTCATGTCCTTCGTACACTGAAGCAATCAAAGCGGGAAAGCCTGTCATGGCAATCTGCAAAAGTACCTTAGCAGACGGTAAGCCGCTTCTTTTACTTGTATTTATAAAAATTCAGCGAAACTGTCAGTTCTTCCAGTTAGTTTTCGAGTTTTCCGATCTTAGGCCTTGCCGTACCTATGGTTGGTGGGAACGCTTTGGCTAGTTTAGAAGGTTTAGTCGACAAATCAGTGGTAGTGTGTGAAGAATCAACTGCATTGAGTATTTTAAGACTCATCGAAATGGAAAAGGTTAATAATTTGAAAGTCAAATTGGGAATCCAAGCCGTTACCCGATTGCTTTAGGCCAACATAACTTTTTAGGCCGTCGTAGAAGGCGGTGGTGCTGTTGGCTTAGCAGCACTGATAAGTGGACAACTCCCGGAACTTCAGGGGAAAAAGTAGGTTTAAGTGT